GGACTCGTTTTTAAGGACATGTAATCTCTAACATGGAGATCATGAATATGAATAAATAAATAAATTTTTAAAACTAAAAATAATAATTCTAGTAAGAAAATATTTGGACCGTTAGTTTCCATTGTTTTTACATGGAACACCTACTTGCATCCATCTTTATAATGGATGTTTTACACTTTTTGGACCGCATATGTAGTCATGCGGTCCAGCCCGCATGAAACAATTTTCCTTAAAGTTATTCCTTAATTAAAGACACCATTAAATAGTCATAAATTGATCTCATAAAAATACTACAAATAGATTCCAAGAAATAATGTATGAATTTGACCATAAAGTTAGCAGAGAAAGGGAAGCACAAAACTCGAGCATCATTGGGACATTCTACTTACCCGGGTCATAACATCTGCATTAGGATTCCAATTGTTAAAATCTCCTATCAGTGATGCTGACTGAGAACAATAAAGAAACCATATTAGTATTTTGAGGCAAGAAACAAAGTAGAGAGTGAGAATCCATTATTTAGAAAACCCAAATTATTTATTCTGAACAAAGTAAGAAAAATCTCAAGATTGGAGGGAAATGATTGGCCAATTAACAATTTCGTTTACAAGACATTGAGCACTAACTGGTCACATATTGTAAATGTGATATTGCAGTAACAATGTATACTAGGCAGGGTCAACTCAAATGGGTGCCTTGTAAATATAATCATCAACATATAAAGAAAAGGCACCTTTGGAATGACAACTAGTTTGGATAAGGCCTTGATGGTGATGATGATTATGACCTTAGGAATGACAAGTATTGGAGTGAGGAGGAGTGGGATGAAGTTCAATAAATGGTCCAAATAAAAGGTTGTATACAAGTTCATCAGCTTATTGAGGGTATTGAACAATAAAGTACCAATGGCATGCAGCTCAAGAAGATATTCACAGGGGATCCTGCTAGATGTTGCCTGGTAACCACAGCATTTGAGTTTTTTTTTGTGTACCATGTGATATTGTTTTATAGTATTGCTTTTAGCGTGTCAGCACATAGGTGAGTATGTTTTCACCATATAGTTTACCCTAACAATTTCATGAATCTCTCATTATGGAACAAAAAGATAAAACATACAAAAGGACCATATTCTATGAGTACCATGTATGAGAAACCATGTAAAAATGCAAACCTTTGCTTTAACATTATCAAAAAAAAAAAAAAATGCAAACCTTTGCTCCTGGAGCCCACTCTCTGTAAGTTATACCACTTTCACTGCAAAATGTCATAAAACTGATATGAGCAATCATCCAAGGTTCCAAAGAACAATTTTGTGCTAAATCATATAACATTTGTGAAACTTCAAAGGAAAGAGAAATACAAAAGTCCAATACTATTTGTACCCAAAAGTGCGCCAATAATTTAGACACGCTTCAAAAATTTCTAGAACACAACCAGAACCAACACATCAAAGCGCAACAGACTAGTATTGAAATAAATGAGTAAAATGGGCATCCCCTGGCCATAGACGATTGCAGACATCATTGAGAAGAGTTCAGAAATTTTTAGCTCTATAGTAATATACTTTCAACTCGTCTGGCCACTAAATATGTGGTTTATTCTCCTCATTGTGTTGAAATATCATTACCGCACATGCCTATTCTGTGCCTCTCCATTTTGCAACAGAAGCTATGTACCAGAGAAGAATATGTTGCACAGTTCAAACTATAATAGCATTTGGTTGATTCCCCACAGACCCACAGAAGCATACCCCACTTACATAGGGAAGCTATAAATGCAGCTTATGTGTTGGAGTGTTTCTACAGTAGGCTTGCTAGTGGACCAGAAACATATGGGCTATGACCTCTCACTTGAAGCAGTGGTGTTGTGAGGAGTCGAAATCATGCATAACATGAAAGATAACATGCATTCTTTCAGCTAGAAATGAAGCATCAAAGAGATAATGATCATTTCAACTTTCACAACATGATTTATGGCAAAAGCTAAAGCAAGCTAACTTCCATATCAAGAACACAGGATACTGAATTCTTGACACAACAATGAACAAAAAACTCACCTGCGGTTGAACCCAAACTTTTCATACCCCCGAGAAAATGCATCTAAACCACCTTCATTTTGATCAATCAAAAGACGCAAATTCTTGTACTGCCGATACCTGTTTCAAAGAGAGGATAAATCCACAGAAACTTCAATGGCCTCAAGTAAAATGTACAGTGTCATTTGCATATGAAGAATAAATAATATAATTAACCTTAGTATTGTAGCCAACAAATTAAGGTAAACTTGATTAAATGACTTAAAACAACTTATATCACAAAGGTTCATGAGAAACTCATATCACAAAGGTTCATGAAAACTATTACCTTTTGCAAGAGGGAAAGCCACATTGTATAAAAAAGGGGAAGTGCATTGTATGACTGCTCCAAAAAATCTTCAGATATTTAAATCCAAAATGTGCCATGAGCCAAACACTCTGAGCTAAGCAGAAAGGAGAATCGAAAATGTGCCACCAATCCTAAGAAATGACCAAAATGTATCTCATATTTTAAGATAGCTGCATTATAATATTACCTATGTTCTCATTACTTTCAAGTCAAACACTTAAAGGAACAGTTAAAAACGAAGTCTTCAATATTTATCAAAATTAAAAATAATTTTACTATAAAAATATTTCTTGATAGTGTTTGTTTCATCAAACTTAACAATATCTTAACAGCAGGAGGAAAAAAAAAAAAGGGACAACTGGGAAAAACCAGTATTAAAGTGCATAGTCTGCCAGTCCTACTTTGCACAAAGAACTATTTGACTCGTAAAAAATCGAGACACAATACATATAAGCAGAAGTGGTGTTTTAACACAGTCTTCTTTCTGATTCTCACCTAGAGAAAAGGTCCACATCAAGAAAAGTTGCAAATATTCATGCTCATTTCTGCTATTTTGATTTTAAAGATGTAAATTAATATATATATATATATATATATATATATATATATATATATAATGTCTGACTAGAACAGACGATTAGAATACTATAGTATTTACTTACTACTTACGACGTAGGTACTACGTAACTATTCGTACTTACAAGTAACGTAACTT